AAGAGCCGATTTTCTATTAGCGAGAGTTTTGGCAAAATTAATTTTTCAAAAGACACCGCCTCAACTTGGACACGCGTTAAAGCACTTGTCAAGTGTTGCTTCAAAAGCCTGCCAATATTCTCCAGACGTTTTCCCACCAACTAAACTTTGATCATTGCTAAAGAAGAGTCTGGGCTTTCGAACAAAGCAACCAGCGAGTGTCCACCAGACGGGGTTTTTGCAAAATAAATATTTTTGAAACTTTTTCGGAGAACGTTCCAGCCAATTCAAGAGGAATTAAAAGTCCCGAAATATCCGAATTACCACGAAGGTGTACTAAAACGAGCAGCGATTGGAGTTGATGTATTTATACCTGAGTTAAACAGACTCGAGGGCAGAGCACTCAATTCACCTTGAAGAGCTTAGTCAGCACGTTTATGCGAGAAATGCTTGCGTTAATGGGAATGTACACTTTCCGCTTTCTTCACTCGAAAGCACACATTTCTAGAGGAACAAAGCGAAAAATCGAAGAAAGCTCTGGGAGAAGTGGAGGAGGTTGGAAGAACCGAACGCTGTGGAGGGCTTGAATAGCACTAGAATGGAATGAAGAAGCTGGAAAGAATGTAGTCAGCAACGATCTGCAATCTTCAGTTGAAAACTACCCACTAGATAGACCAACTATTTTCTTGAAGGAGCCCAAGAGGAGCTTTATGCTGACCAAACGCTGAAAGAACGTAGAGAGCAGAAAGGAACTGAAACCAAGAACGTTCTGGTGAAACCTATGAGTTTTCCAGCACCAGTGGCTTGCATATTGAATGGTTAGTTCGGACTTCCACTGTCTTGCAACAATGTTTAAATCGCCTGTGAGGGGTTTCGAGTGGACCATCTCTGAGGATGCGGGTTAGTAGTGTTAGGGAAACATTAGCAGTAGAAAACGGTTTTTGTTCGTTGCTATTTACCAGGTTTTCAACAGGAAATCAGGCATCCACAGCACTCACTGAAACAACACCGACTAGACGACTAATCAGCCCCAATGCTGAACGGTTTGATTCTAACAATTAAGCCCGCATCAACGGAAAAAACACCGCGTAAGCTCTACTGGAAGCTGAGTCGAAAAAGACTCAAATCCTTTACAAGTCACGCATGTACCTTTTTATGACTCTGTACAGCTGCATTCAAATATACATACATAAAACCGTTTGTGTGTAAAAACTTCGATTAGTGCGGGAGCTTGTGCTCGATCGTTTTGGCCTCTTAAGGCAAGGCTTACCTTTTGGTCATTTGGCACGCGAAAACGACACAATCGCTGGTTCAGGCTGATAAAAACTGGCCGATTTTAGTGGAATATTTCGGCTTCAGGTAGAGATAAGTGCAGCTAATCAATGGATTGAAGGACGCGATAGCGCAACGACAAACACACTGAACAGGGCGAGGTTTGGGCTTAAGCACCCTTAGGAGACGCTCCCAAAATAGCATGTGGCATTAAGGGGGCGGATAATCGCGCTAATTGAAAAAGAAAAGTGATGATGGCTAGGAGCCAGGCACCAGCTGATAGAGCTTAAAAAACACTGCAAATCGCAAAATTTCTATTTAAAACGCCCTCAACTGCAAGAACGTGCCAAATTACCACCAATAACCGAGCGGTGGTTCTAAAAGTGGAATTAATGGCAATACAAAGTACCTAAGCAAGTGCGTCTGTATATGTTGATAGGCTGATAACCTGATTAGGTTTTATGTGATTTGGATGGGATTTTCCGGTTTTCCTCGAGGTGAATGCGGGGGATTTTTCACCCAAAATCTCGCCTGGTTCTTCCATAGAGAACTAATTTCGATTTTTTGTTATCCCCATCCAATCTTCGCCTCATTTGGGCCCAGACAGCCGCTTTCAATGCATCAAACTCAACAAATGTGTGGAATTTGGCCCAATTGAACGTCCATTAACACACGTCGAATTGATAAGAGAATTAACGATTTGTTGACTCAAAAGGCGATACTTTGAAATTATTGCCCTGCTTATCGTCGACAATTCCATAAGTGGGTTACAACACTGATAGGCGGATGATTTACTGGTTAAGTTAGTGAATTATTCAGTTTAAATGCTTTTAAATGCTTACTGCCCTGTTTGTACCTACTGGAAGCTCGGACTAAAGCGTTTGTGAGTTGATTTGATTAAATCCCACTCGAAAAATCTAATCAAATTAAGCAGGTAAATGCGGTTAATTCGATCCATTAGACGATTATTGAATATCAACTAACTTTGATTTGAAACTTCGTCATGCTCTGAGTGGGACGGTAAAACCAAAAACTTTAACAGCAAAATTAGCGTTGAAATTTGCAGGTTCCAGTGGATTATTCCGCAATAGTAGCAGCGTAGGTGGAACCAATTTGCACATATTTTGCCTGAACGGTTCACTCTTACGTAACATTTACTCATGCGACACTGGGAACCATCAGCATTATTTTAAGAACAGCATTAAATCAGCCTCTGGTGTCGACTTATGCTTGTCGCCGTTGATAAAATGTGATTCTGTTGGCCCCAAACTCGTTACTCAATTAATTGGCCAAATGATTGTCATGCCGCATTCTGGTCTATTTAAGTGATGCATTGAAACTGTCCTGGGACAGTTGTGAGCGAAATAATGTGAGAAAATGGCTCTGTTGTGCAAAAAGCGTGTTTGGGACACCCAGTAGGTACAGATGAATTATGAATGAAAGAGATGAATTAGTTTACAATCCAATGTCCAAACAGCCGGTTCACAAAGAAATCAGCACAGTTTCAAGATTTCCTCATCTTTGTATCCCATTTTTTTTAAATCGTCACTCAAATTCAGGATGTGTTAGGGGGATGCTTTAGACACACTTAGAGAAAGGAAATGTTGCCCTACGGAATCCCCTAAGCCTCTATAGTATTTTATTTTTTCTTAATTGCTGGAATTTTTTTCAACTGGAAGCTTCCAGGTGCACTTTGGCATCTACTACGTTTGCAACAGAGATTTGRAAAATTCCTGGCGCAAAATCGCGACTTGCTAGAASAAYGTGTTTAGTACGGTCAAATARAGGAATGTTTGCTCTACTAATGCACTAAATACCRATTAMGTCCCGTTTTTTTTTCAATTRTTRAGAACCTTTAAAGATAGAAAGATAGGAGCTGGAGGCKKTTTAACCTTGACWATGTTCGGRWGTAATTTTTCAAAAATTATTACACGAAACACAGAATGGCTAGAGGTCTGCCTCTGACCCCACGCAATAGAGGAAACCTTGTTYTATTMGTTCTGTGCTTGTTTAATGTCGCCTTTTTTAAGTTTTTGGGATTTTTTKGGGATTKTTCGAACCTTCGAAGTGCACTTTGCCTTTCACCAGGATTGCAAGACTTTTTTAATTGTCATTCACACCGAGGACTCGGTATAGAGCCACTTTTAGCACCATTTTATAGAAACTCTCTTGGTCCATGACTGCGGTAATTTCCGATTTTGTACTACGTTTCCTTAATTCTTGAGATTTTTTTAGTTGGAAACTGCAATGTGCAGTTTGGATAAGATCGCGTTTAGAAGACTTTTCAAAGATTTTCACCTTGAAATTTGGACAAGCCATACACCTACTTTAAACACTATTTAATAGAGAA